GATATGCCCAAAAAGCATTCTGAACAGGTATATTTTTGTTTTCATAGTAGAGCAAACATGGCTATCTTCTCAAGTGGGAAGAAAAATCCCCATGATTGGTCTAAGATAAAACACCTGGCAACAGAGAAATAGCAGGTCAGCGCCTCTGGTGCTGGACTGAGCATTTACTTTCCACTTCCCAAGAGGCACTGCCCTAAGGAATTGCACATGGCCATCTCTCTACAACCCCAGCCATGCCAGAGGTAAGCCTCAGGACTCTACAAAGTCCCACCCACAGGGCAAGACGAACAAGCAGGGAGGTCCACACTCAAGATCGGGAAGGAGAAGACGGAAACAACCAGAAAGGGGACTGTGTGCTCCAGATGTGACTCAGCCATTTCCATTCTGCTGTAATTAGTAACACACACTGCTCCGCATGCAGACATCCTAAAAGCCCTACTGAGTGTTCAATTTGGTCATGGCTCATTTTTCTCCCAGGGTGCGCTTTGTGACATGAGAAACCAGGAAAATCAGTCCCAGACTTACAGAAACTCACTCATTAACCCAGAAAGGCCAAGAAACACTCAGGCTGGCGACTGTCCCATCACAGATGAACCTCGGGCCCCGCTCGTGGCAGATGGATCTGGTTTATTTTTACTCACTCACCCCGGACAAGGAAAGTGGACTTTCCTCAGCAACTATGCACAAGAGTATGGAGATAACAATAGCAATGGGGTTTCTGGTGTTGCTACGAAGTCCGTATTATTCAGCTATGACAAGCTCACCAGACTGGTAGTTTCAACAAAGGCACAACTGTGAGGCCGATGCTGTGGTGCAGCAGATTGAGGCCCTCGGCCTGAGTGCCAGCATCCCATGTGGACACCGGTTCTAGTCCTAGCTGCTCCACTTCTGATCCAGCTCTCTGCTATGACCCGGGAAAGCAGCAGAAGATGGTCTAAGTCCTTGGGCCCCTGCACCCGTGTGGGAGAACTGGAAGAAGCTCCTGGCTCCTGGCTTCAGATTGGCGCAGCTCCAGCCATCGCGGCCAATTGGGGAGTGAACCATGGGATGGAAGACCTCTCTCTCTCTCTCTCTCTCTGCCTTTCTGCAACTCTGCCTCTCTTCTCTCTGTGTAATTCTGACTTTCCAATAAAAAAAATCTTTAAAAAAATCACTCCAGGTGCATTTCGGATGGCTAGCTTAGACGTTTCCAGTGCCCTTCCACTTCCTGGCCCACTCCCATGAGATGCAGAGACAGTCGTGGTTCTCAGCATTGCAGGGGTGGCATAGAAACCACAGGGAAGAAAACACGTTGGGGGATGCACTTGGGTTGGAAGCCATGGGGGCTGCATATCTGGACCAATGCAAGGCAGTCCTGCTCAGCGCAGACTTGCCCCACCATGCACAACCTCCAAGTCTCCCACAGACCCTCGTCCCAACAGGAACCACACTTGTAGTATTTGGAGCATATCCCCTAACGCGAATCCACATTTATGTGAAATCCACACTGTTGGCACATTTTCCTATAGATGCTTTTTCAGGACTGCAGTGCAAACAGAAGACTGGTTTTTGGGTGCCATTTAGAACTTGGCCAGGAGTGATGCATGTTTCAGTGGTATCTGGCTGGGCACCGTGACTCATCGGCTCCACACTGCAGCTGGAACTGTCACGTGCTAGGCTGTGGCGAGCCACATAAAGCACTGGGCAACCTCCCCAGGTTCTAGGTTGGCTCAGCCCAAGCATTTGCACACTGAACTAGATCATTTTAATACAAATTGCTTTTATTTCTTTTTCATGCTTAAGGTGTTGCATTGATTTTTAAAAATCATGCTGTTGGTAACTTATTATATCAATACAGAATTAGAAGAGATGTTTTAAAACATTTCCATTGCGGGGTGGGGGGAGGTGTTGGATTGCTGACATGTGAGACAAACTGATCAAAAGTGATAGCATCTGGAGGCTGGCACTGTGGTGCTGCGGGTTGTGCCACAGGCTGGGACACTGGATTCCCATACTGGAGCACTACTTCAAGGACCAGCCACTCTGTTTCTATTCCAGTTCCCGGCTAAGGTGCCTGGGAAAGCAGCAGCAGATGGCCCAAGTGCTTGGGCCCCTGCCACCCATGTCAGACACCCAGATAGAGTTCCAGGCTCCTGGCTTCAACCGGCCCAGACCCAGTGTTGAAGCTATGTGGGGAGTGAACCTCTCCCTATCACTCCGCCTTTCAAAAGATAAAGAAACTCCTTAAAGAAAGCGACGGCACATGACTCTGCGCTTAGCTCCTGATCAGGAGTCACTGTGGCATCTTCAAAGGTCTCAGGTTTGGGAGGCCAGATGTGCAGAGCCCAGACTGGCTTGACCGCTCCAGCTGAGCTGTGGTCCTCACACTGCCCTTGAGGTGCAGGTCATTTTCAGAGGCAACCCAAAACTTTCTCTTTCCATCTCCAGAAGCAGGATTTTGGGAGAACGTGCCCCGCCCTTGGCTTCGTACCACTCTGCCTTGGTCTCTCCTGAGCACTCTGCTTTTGGCTTGAAGACACTGACAGCTCTGCCTGCCAGGGTTCCTCTCTGTCACTGCAGCAAGAAGGGGTGTGTGTGTCGTCAAGCTGGGCTGGACCTTAGCATCACCTGGCAGCCTTCAAAACCACCCATGCCTGGCGCACCCCTCCTCCCCAGAGATGCTAATTGGTCTGCTCTCCACCCAGTCCTGACCTTTCTCAGAGAGCCATGGACAAGGCCCCAGGGCAGGCAAGGCTGGAGTGTCAGGCTAGCCTCTGCATTTGCAGCTCTGCTTGGACAGCTTGATAAGCACATGGGGCATCAAGGCTGACATTTTACACCAGTCTAGCCTCACTTCATGCTCCACGGCATGCCCACTGTCGCTTTGCTTTCATCCTACTTTTAATGTGTGGCACCCTGTAAACCATTTCCAAAACAAGTAGGAATGGCAAAGTGTCTCCCTGATGTTGGCACATGCGTTCCTGTGGACATGCATGGAGAGGAGCCAGTGCACAGTCCAAAGGCACACAGTTAGTAGGGAGCCTGGAGGACTTCTTCTCAGGACTCAGTCAGATCAGTCCTCCTGCACACTATTCCCACGCACTGCACATGGACAGGAGGCTGTGAGCAGCATTTCCTGGGGCCACAGCAGGCAACCAGAGGAGATGACACTGCTGACTCAGCAGATCCTCATCCTTACTCCCAGCCAACCTAACAACTGTGGAGAAAGGAAAACGAAAACCAAGCACCTGCTCATAGCAACAGACGAGTAGCATCGTGGGGTTAGGCTATGGCCAATGAGTCACAGGTGCCCCTGACAGCTTCTCTCCTTTCACAGTGATCCACCATGCGGCCTAAGAACAAGCAGTTCTCTGCACATCCTCACCCCTCCACCACCCACGGTGGTCTCACTGCCACGGGCCTGAAGGAGATGCTTCCTTCATAGCATCTCCACTTCCAGGGAGACACCTGCCTCCCACGGATGCATCCCAGCAGCGGATCTTCCATCTGCCCTGGTGCACACACATGGCTGAGCCACACCCCTGCTATTTCTGAAGGGACCACAGAGCTCCATCTGTGACCACCACAGGTGTCCCCTGAGCAGCCCAGGCGCCCCCCACCCTGTGAAAAGAGGCAGATTTCAAAGAGTCCCCTTCACATTCGCATCCATAAGAGCACAGGGACTTTTGTTTATTCACTGCCCCTTCCCCAGCACTTGCTACAGTGCCTGGCACATAGGAGACGTTCAAGAAACACTTGTTCAACAAATAAGTGAATCAGTCCATAAATACATGGTATTTCACCAATCATATCCACCCCCAAAGACCCCACTGTCTATTCTAGCATGACAGTTAATATAGGAAACACACGCATAGTACAAAGTGGAATATCAAAGGGGACATCAGAAGAGAGACCGGATCAAAAGAGGAAAAGATACCAGCAGCTGCCAAGCTGCTGCTGTGCGGAAGGGAGTAGCAAATGTTGCCCGCACCAGCGGGGCTTTCCTCAGCTCGTGCTCAGGGAGTTCCGTCTTGTACATCCTCCTTCCAGAAGCGTGGCACTAAGCCAGGTGGCCCAAGACTCGTGTTGAATGATGGATGGACCTGGGCTCACCATTAGCTCCAGGGTATCCGTGGCCTAAGTTCACAGCATCCCTTGCTCAGTTCCTAGGAAACAGAGCTAAACCCACTGGAATGTACCCTTCTCTGAGCATCCCCTGCCCCAGGAAATGCTCAGAGAGATGCCCCTGGCAGGACTGGGTGTCCACTCACCCTGCACACAGCCCTCCTCCCTCAGGGCAGCCCGGCCACTGTGGGAGCCATATGACACAATGTCAACACTCCAGGATTGGAGTCAAGAGACCTGTCTCTCCTTCTCCGTGCTGGTCCTCCAATACTTAGCCACATCTCTAAGCTTTTCTGCTGGTATAAAACAAGGCGATAATTGCACCTTTCTCGCAAGATTGCTGGGAGGATAAAAAAGCAGTGTGTATAAAGGGCCTTATAAACTGTCCAGAGCAAGGGCATCGTGGGTATAAAAAACCAACGTCTTGCCGGTGTTTACCTGATTGTAGTTACCACACCCAGTGTCATTCTTTATCTGGAGGGGAAACAACCCACCCTCGGCAGAGCCTTTAAGACATTCACCCCTCATCTTGTTAAGGAGACTGGCTCTTTGGAGCCCAAACCCTTAGGACCCTTTCAGACCCTGTTCAGCCACCTAGAAGCAAGATACGCAGGGGGCACGCACAAACACCTCTAAGGATCTGCAGAACCAAAGCCAAGTTCCCCCAAGGAGCCTGGATAACCCGTACGTGGCTTCACACAGGAAACACGCGCTGAGATTTAACCACCATCACCCTCTTACACAACAAATCCCGGGCACCAAATGTAACTTAGGGAGGAGGCTTTAGGGCGCCCCGCAGAGCCGGGCCCTTCCCCCTACCCCAGCCAAAGTGTCAAGGCCGCCGTCTGTCCCTACTCGCACCCCATGCCCCGAGCACCGCGATTTTCTCCTCCTACCTGAGCGAGCCCCGCTGCGGGGGCATGCGAGGATCGGAGCCCGGTTCAGCCCGGAGAGATCAGCGGCCCTGGGAGCCGATGAAGGGTGCTCCGGGGCGCGGGGGCACGACGGTCACATTCCTGCCACTCCCGGGGGCGCGCGGGGCAGGCAGGCGCCTCGGTGGCCCAGGCCCCGCCGCGCCGCGCGCTCCGAGTCGGATCTGGGCGCCGGGCAGGAGCTGCTCCCGCCTTCGCGGTGGAGAACGACCGGGCGCGGCTCCGGCTCCCCGGCTCCAGCCCAGCAGCCGCGGGGGCAGGGAGCTGGCGGGCGGAGACGCGGGGCGGGGACAGACCGCGGGCGGTGAGCGAGCTAGCAGGCTGCCCCGAGTGTCCTCCCGGGCGAGCAGACGAGACTGGGCTGCCCTTTCGCATCCCCCGCGAGCCCGGAGGCGCTCCTGCCCGGGTCCCGCTGACGCCGGGGCTTCCGGAGACTGCTCGTGTGCGCTTCCAAACCACCGCCTGGGAAATCGAGGGGCCGCGGCGGGGGTCCCATTGAAGCCGGTTGGCACAGCTCACCTGTCACCTCGCGACTCGGCTCGACCTCCGGGTGCGAACTGAGCTGGCCACCGGCGGGGCGTCAGATCCGGAGACCCCTGTTAACACTGCTGCGCCTTCCCACTGCCTTTGAGAACCAGGTCACTAATTTTCTGGTAGCTCAGTTTCTTCTTTTGTGAAAATAGATTCTAGCAGCATCCATCTCACCGAGTGGAGGAGAGATTAGATGAGCTGGTGCGTGTCACCCAGTGGCCGGCACCCTAGGACAAGTGTTAGCTGCTAGTTCTACTGTGATTGCTAAATAAATCAGTTTACCTGCAGTGCAACCCCGGTGCTTCTTTAAGCTGAAGAGCCGCTTACTCCCACCCACTCACTCGGCTCTGGGAGAACTGACAGCCAGCTAAGTGCAAAAATGGCCAAAGTCATATGGCCAGGCCAGGGCCTGGCAGACTCTCACCTAGGACTGGGTTAGGGGGAAGAGGGTGACACTGGGGTCCCAGGTGCAGCTCTCTTGGGCTCCAAGCCCAGCAGCCCTGGAACTTAAAACCTGTTCCATTCCTAGAGCATGAGGCTGCTCTCCTCCTCCTATCTGCGGCCCTCCAGTCCTCCCAGGCCATCCTCCAAGGAGGTCCTGGGTGGGTGATGCTGGCAGGCTTCCTTCCTTCCTTCCGGGACACACCGCCCCTTCCTGCATGTCTCCCAGGCTGGGCAGGCTCCTGTTTCCCTGACCAGTTCCTCGAGCCCCTCTCTCCCTTCAGAAAGTCAAGGATGGAGGTGGAATGAGCTGCAGCTGCCTGGGACAGCTGGCGATTGGAGGGAAACATGGAGGAAGGACCAGCAGTCACTCATCAACCCCTAAAGCTGGCTTGTGGTCGGTGTGATGACTGTTTCTCATTTCTTTTCTATCTGGTTCCAGAAGCTTGGACTGTTCCCTTTTCTCAGGAGAGCAGGCTTCAACCTGAAACCAGTGACACAAGATTATGAGAATTCATTAACTGTTCTCATAGCCTTGGCTACAGGAAGCACCGTGGGTCGGGGGATGGTTTGACACACCCAGGCCCAGATCAGCTGTGTCAGACTCTCTGGGGCCCAAATGTCAGTGCTTTCAAAGCTCCAAGGAGATTCCACTGTGCAGCCTCCAAACTCAGTGATGCGGGCACCCGAACTCTCCGCCTGACGGCTACTACAACAGGTGTGTTGGAAGCGGCAGGTAATGAAAGCTACAACAGCTGGGACTGGTTTGAGGCTGTAGAACCGGTCGGGAAGCCTTATGTTTAGTGAGCATGAACTTGTCTTGCTATCTACATAATGAAGGCTTTTAAGCAGTTTACAAGTAGAAAGTGAAATTGGTTCGTGCAGCAACAGAGAAATAAAGCATCACACGTTTCTTCTACTCCTAATTTTTCCCACTCCTCTCTACCCCAGATCTCCTGATAGACACACAGGCTTCTAGACCCAGGGGGAGTCTCTCAGGCCGGAGGCTCCCATGAGCACCTCTCTCTGCCCTGGACTCAGCACCATGCATGGATTCTGAACACAGCCATGTGCTTGCACCTGTCACCACTTACACTGGTGTTGTACACACACGATGTGTGCAAGGGCTTACATCATGGGCAAAAAGGAGCAACAGAAGTAGCACCTAAGGGTGCCTTTGGATACTTTCTGGAGTCTCCCCACCCAGTTCTGAAACAGTGAGCATCTGGGAGACTTGAGTGTGTGCCACCCACCGAGATCTATCTTATGGCCTGAGGGGTTTTGGTCTCTCCTGGACCTGGGGAGCAGCTCAGCTCCTGGGATCCTCCTTGGGAGGAGTCTATAACAATGCGCATGAAACAAAGTCATAGTAGTCAATCCAACATGAAAAATAAAGCATTTCCTATGGCCCATATGGCTGGAGAATATCCTGAAGATCTGTCCACTCTACAGATTCACACTGGGCTTGAAAGTAGGAAAGTGGAAGCATGTTTTTGCGTGTTTCTTCAAACCCCCAAAGCCAGAATATCTAAGAAGCCAGACTGTAGGGTCTGTATTGTAAGACAGAAGAATGCATGGAAGTCTGAAGTTATTTTTTCTTACTCAAAAGAACAGAATATATCAGCAGATGAGAAGAGGAAAAGCAGAGGACGGTGGCCCTGCAAGTTCTCAGAGAGTGGTCAAGCGCCTCTGTGCTCCACTAACACCACCAATCAGGAGAAATCCTGGCCTCTTCCTGAAGGAACAGATTGGTGGGGAACTCTGGGAGGGAGAAATAACACTTGGCATCCTGGGATATGTCCGTGGACACCACCCTGTGTCATAGCAAAGCCCTGTGTCCAGCATGACCCAAACCAGGGAGCACGCCTGACTGCTGAGCTGCCCGGGTGTGAGCACAGCCTGCCTCCCAGAGTGCAGGTCATCCCAGCGTAGCCAAGCAAAGTGGCCAAGAGGCCCCAAAGTGTGCACAGGGGCTATGAAAGGACTGAGAGGGCTGCCCCCAGAAGCAGCTTTGCAGTCTGGGCTGGCAGGGCAGGCATGGCCTCCGATGAAGTGTGTAAGAGCAGAGGATGTGCAGAGGGCCCTCTGCCAATACCAGGGCAACCCTTAATCACCTCCAGGCCCTCCACCCTAGCACCCCCAAAGAACCCCAGTTACCCTTTAGAAAGAAACAAGGGGAGATTGGAAGAAAACGAACTGGGAATAGATTTTGTCCTTTCCCCCGAAAGAGGCTGAGTTTTGGACCAGTGGAGACAAAATAAGTCTGAATGGGAAAGATTTTTTTTCTTTTTGCCACCACACGGAAATGGAAATGCATAAGTGAAGTTGACTACGATTGCAGAGAAGGGTTTCTGCGACCCTTAATTGGCTACACCTGCTTATTTATGACACTGCCAGTAATGTCTCACAGAACCACAACATAGATTTAAAACCACTGTCCTACATGGACTTCCTTCATCAGCCCAGAGTTTTTTGCTCTTCTCGCAATTTCCACCTACTGACCTCCAAATAACCACTCTTTGAGCTCTGTCTCCCATGACCTTCCATCACGGTAGCTTCTCAGTTTTAGTTGACTCAACAGTCTTCCTTGACCTAAGCAGTTATGTGTGGGCTTCTCTGCTCATCTTTCCATTCAAATTCCTGCAATATTCTAAGACCTTTACCAAGCAGGAAGCTACCAGGGGACCAGCGATGAGGGCTGATGGGAAAGTGTGACATGCGTCTCAAGACTATACGGGCAATGAACCATTTCTTATCCTCCTTGGTAAGAGGAGGAAGAAAAGATGGATGCCAAGGCAGGCAGATGGGCTAATTTTTGTTTAATCTTACTCAATGAAGGCAAATGACGTCTTGCATCTGATTGTCCCTATGTGAACATAAACAGAATAGGAAGTTCCAGAAACAATAGACCTGGCTACTTCCAAGGACAGCTGCACCTGACAGAACCAGTTTAGTGATCTTTCTCTGCATGCCAGCTGTCTTCTATTTGATGAGCACTCTAACAAGGGAAAGTCGAAGCACCAGTAACTGAACCATCTACTGCTACTGAGAGGCAGTCCTTACCAGCTTCCCCACATCATCCAAGAAATACGGAGGACTTCAAAAAGTTCATGGAAGATGAAATTATGAGATAAGTTTATTTGAGTGCCACAAAAGTTTGTAACCTGAGATGGCATTTGGCCTGGAGGTTAAGACATCAGTTGGGACATCTATATCCCATATCAGAGCACCTGGCTTCTGCTCTTGATTCTAGCTTCCAACAATGTGTATCGTGGGAAGCTGCAGTGTTGATGCAATGGGTTCCCTGCCATTCATGTGGGAGACTTGGATTGAGTTCCAGCTCCTGGCATCAGCCAGAGTATTGTGGGCATTTGGGGAGTGAACCAGTGGGTAGGAGTTGTCTGTCTCTACCTCTCAAATAAATAAATAATTATTGAAATCCATGCATAGTTTTTTTTAATAATACACATTTTCCATAAACTTTTTGGAGATTTCTCAAATATGTGGATTTCAAAAATCTTGTGCTAAGAATAAATTTATCTTTTAGATCCATTTTCCAAGAACTTTTTAAAGTAACTTGGTATGTATTGAAACACTGGTACTGTCATTTGGCAGATACATAACAAAAATATAGCTCTCTTCAAATTTTTTTAAAATGTAATACTCTTTCTTTTTTAAATTTATCTATTTGAAAGGCAGAGTTACAGAGGGGCAGAGGTAGAGAGAGAGAGAGAGAAGTCTTCCATCCTCTGGTTTACTCCCCAGATGGCCACAATGGCCAGAGCTGCACCTATCCAAAACCAGGAGCCAGGAGCTTCCTCTGGGTCTCCCACATGGATGCAGGGGCCCAAGGACTTGGGCCATCTTCTACTGCTTTCTCGGGCCATAACAGAGACCTGAACCAGAAGTAGAGCAGCTGGGACTTGAACCAATGTCCATATGGGATGCTGGCACTGCAGACTGGGGCTTTAACCCACTGTGCTACAGCACTGGCCCCTGTAATACTCTTTCTCTTATAATTCCACCTTGTCCCACCATCTTTGGTTCTCTTCAAGTTTTTGTGAATATTGTCACTTTTCCTTTTACAACAAGCACTTTCTAAAATCTAGACTTTCATCTTGGGATCTTTCAAGGCTTTGATCTTTCCTGACTATAACTGCCAATTTATTTTCTCTATATGGCTTCCTTTAAATGTGATCACTTTGGTAAATTTAAAATGACTCCTTCTTAATTTGGAAGAACCATCATTAATTGCTTCTCATCCAATTTAAAGGTGATGTCTAATTTCCTTCCCTGGGAATCTGGGCTTGTTTTGGGGACTCATTTAACCAATTTCAGCCAATAGAATGAGGTGAAATTGACTTTCTGGGAGCTCTGAGCCTGACCATATAAGGCCTTTAAGGATTCTCCTGGACCTCCCAGAATAATCTGTCTTGGTGTTGAGAGCTTCCAGAACAGAACCGTTCTTTTTCCTAAGACCATTATACTGCTAGAAAACCCAGCCACATGAAACAAACCACATATGGGCACCCACGGCCCTGTTCCAACTGTGAGAATCAACTCCAGCTATGGGAGTGAACCACTTTGATGTTATTCCAATCAACCAGACACCAGCTAACTACACCCACATGAGAAGCCTCAAGTGAGCATCAGCCAGCTGAGCTCCATCAAACTCAGAAGTCACAAAAGACAAGAATGAATTGCCACCTTCAGACATGGAGTTACAGGGTAGATTGTAGCACAGGAATAGATAATCAGAACACAACATACCCAAGAATGTGCCATGGTCCTCCACTCTGTACTGGATATAAAATCATCTTAGTTCACATGGTGTCTCAGAACCAAAACAGTGTGTATCCTTTCTCCGGCATCGGCTCAGAACACTGCTCCATTTATCAAGGACTTCCGTAAAATTATGGAGATGATCTCACCAGCAAGCAAAGGAAAAATCAATGCTATGAGATGGTCAGATAGGTTTAGTTTTGAATATCCTATTTTGAGCCCAAAAAAGAAAAAAAAACTATGTTTTTTTAAGAAAATGCTAACTAGAAATGATTTGGTTTCTAATGTTGTTATTGAATGATTTTATAAGATACAGTACAAGCCATGAGAATTCAGTCTTCACTATTAAAGATACTTGAAAGAAAAAAGAGAAGACCACTCCTTCCATCAAGAAGAGCAAAAAATGGGGCTGGCGCTGTGGGTTAAAGCCCCAGCCTGTAGTGCCGGCTGGTTCGAGTCCCGGCTGCTCCTCTTCCGATCTAGCTCTGGCCTGGGAAAGCAGTAGAATATGGCCCAAGTCCTTGGGCCCCTGCACCTGTGTGGGGGACCTGGAAGAAGCTTCTGGCTTCTGGTTTCAGGTCAGCTCAGCTCTGGCCGTTGCAGTCATTTGTGGAGTGAACCAGTGGAATGAAGACCTGTCTCTCTCTCTCTCTCTCTCTCTCTCTCTCTCTCCCCCTCCCTCTCCTTCTCTCTGTAATTCCTCTGTCTTTCAAATAAATAACTATTTATAAAAAAAAGAAATAAGAAGAGAAAGAAAAAACAAAAACCTGGCCAGACTCAGATGTGCCACATCAGTTGAATCATTTCTCTAATGTCCAAAGATGATGCTAACACACAACTACTCTTCTTGTCTTTCTTCTGAAAAAACATATTAAAATAAAATAACATGACAACAACTTGATAGCAGGTACACCGCTGCTGAGTAATAACCACTGTTGCACTGTTGTCTGTCCCTGATATGAAAGTCTAGGTTGTCGTACCACTGACGCCTTTCTTGCCCTTGCACCTTAAGCAAATCACTGTCATAAGTACCTGGGTGGCAAGTGCTGAGAGGGCAGTTGAACTGGCTGAAGAGCTAAGCTTTTGCTCAGCACACACAATGGTATTGTCCTCAAAGAGGCCAAGGCCACTGGATGTTGAATGCTCCAGTGAGCAACAACTGTAGAAACCTGTGGTCCCAGTTCCCCAGTAATGACACAAAAAGACTTGAGATTCATACTGACCACACTTCAGAGACACAGAGGGGCCCCTAGTGACACTTACCCATGGGTTCACAGGAGTTGGCTACAAAGACCCCTTCTTGTGTTCCATGAGATTACACAATGTATTACACAATCCATGTAGTTTCTAGAAATGTGGTAATTTAACCCTACATAGAAAATTCAGGGTCTCAGTTGTACTGGCCACATGTTGCTAGTGGCTGTCACATTCTACAGAGTACACACAGGACATTCCATCACTGCAAAGATATTTTCTTGGACATTGCAGCTCAAAGTCCAGAAAATTCTATGACAACTCTGGAACCAAAGTCGTGCTTGAGAAACCTGGTCCTGATCCAAAATGGAAAATCCGGTTGTTTAGAGTCCATGCGTGAGCACAGATCCTTCACACCATCGCTCTTTCCTGTTGACCGACCACATCGTCCTTCTTCCACTGCTCAGCAGCATTCTGCCTGCTCACATGCTCTCTCTACAATACAGGTCCCCAGTTCCTACGTGATTATAACAACAACCTCTAAGTGAAAACGTGCCCACAGAGAACCCAGCCTTTCCTAAGGGCAAGCCCAATGGGACAAGAGATTTATTTTTTCTATGTTGTCCAAGGAAAAGAGAATCCCAGGGGGAATGGTGATATACAATGTGTTGGGTGCATTTTCTGCTTTTTCAGAAAGGAAAAGAAGATCCAGTAAAACCCAGCGATTTGGGAATGGCCCTGAAATGGATTCTTCAGAGAGAGCAAGCTAAACCAGGGAGGGTAGGGGGCTGAGGAAATCACCAAGGGCAATGCCAGGACACTGCAGGTTCTGAAACAGAATACGCTCCACTACCACCATCACATCACCTACATCCTGCACACCTTTTGTCAGATTTATCCCTAATGTTTTTGTAAGTGGTATTGCTTTGTAATTTCAATTCCTGGATGTTCATTGCTAGTATATAGTACACATCTGGCTTTTATATGTGCATTGTGTAAGCTATAAAACTCACATATTGTTTCTGGTATTCTTTTTATTGATTCCATAAGATTGTTAATAGAGAACAGGTTGTCCGCAAATTCAATTTCCTTTCCAATGTGGATGCTTTTTACTTCCTTTTCTTGACGTTTTTTACACAAGCTGGAGCCTTTAGTACAATGCAAGTGTTGACTAGAAGCAGGCATCCCATCTCCAGGGTATTTCATTATGTATATGCAGGTATTCCGAGTCTGAATTTGGTCCAAGCATTTTGGATAATGGAGTCAGCTGGTAGCTGTCAGCGGCAATGGCCTGAAATCTTTCAGCTTGCATTATTTCCATGAGAAATCTGCTATCATTCTTCTACCTCTGCAAGTGCATTTTCACTCTGACCGCTTTGCAGATTTTTCTTTATCACTGGTTTTAAGCAACTTGATTATGATGAAACTTGATATATGTTGTTCATATTTCTTGGGGTTCATTGAGCTTCTTGGATTTGTGGGTTTATTGTTTTCACTCATTTTGGAAATGTTCTACCCATTATTGCTTCAATTTTTTTCTGTAACCGTTCCTTCATTTCAGGGACTTCAATAACTTGTGTATTTTGGCCACTTGAAACTGCTGCATTTTTTCAGTGATGCCCTGTTATGTTTCTCTCCCTTCCTCTTAAATAAAGAAAAAATGCAAAACCAAGATTGTGTCTTTTGCAGCAACATGGGTGAGACCTGGAGAACATTATGTTAAAAGAAATAAGCCAGGAACAGAAAGACAAATGCCCCGGGTTCTTATCTATGTGGAAGCTGAAAAAGTTGATCTCGTAGAAGGAGGGAGTAGAACAGTGGTTACCAAAGATTCAGAAGGGTGTGGGGGAGAGAGTTAGTGAGTACCGGGATGCAGGAATAGCAGGAAATAACTTCTATAGGCTCTATAGTAAGATAACTATATAACAATTAGCTGTATATTCCAAAATAGAAAGGATTTTGAATGAACCCACATAAAGAAATGGCAAATGTCTGAGGTGATGGATATGTCAATTACTCCAATCTGAGCAATTACACATTGTATCCATGTATTGTAATATTCCACTGTATCCCAAGAATATGTATTTAAAAATTTTAAAGGAGAAAAGATATTCTATTTGAGGGGTTCTTAAAGGTCCCTGGGACCCTTTCAGATGACCCTTCAAATCAAAACTACCTTCCTAAATCAAATGTAGTACATGTCTTTTTTATACACATTCTCTCACAAGTGTATAGTAAAGTTTTCCAGAGGCTATATGCTGTATCACATCTCCAAGATCATATGTAGAAGCAAATATGAGAATTCAACTCTTACACTGGGTAAACAAACATGAAAGAAATTTCCAGAACAATTTAAGCATGTAAAATAATTCCTTTCTTAGCTTCTTAAATTGTGTTGTAAATATAGTGATTTTATATCTAGGTTAATGAGTTTATCTAATAATCAAAATTTATATTTTAGGGGAAAGTGTTTGGCATACAGTTAAAATGCTCTTGGGAGAGGGGAAGTGGCGTTATGGGTTAAACTG